GAGCTGTAGGAGTCTGAATCCCCAGATTTAGTGTGTCACCTCCTTCTTTAAATCTGTAATAGAAGATCTACAACGGGCTAATAAAGCTGGTAACAGCCACTGTGTGAAACCCAGAATAAATGGGCCTCCCCAGCACTGGCTGTTCCTGCTCTGAGTCAGTGGTGCTGTACAGGCCATGCTGCTTCCAGCACCTTCAGCCTTTGCTCTGGGGTAGCCCAAGCCTCCCTGAGCATCTCTCTGCCTTACAGCTTGATGGGTGTTTTTCCTAGGAAAGCCTGAAACGCTGGATCCAAGGGAACTTGACAAACTGTGGGCGCTCAGCCTTTCTCTTTGATGAGATGGACAAGATGCACCCAGGCCTGATTGATGTGATCTTACCATTCCTGGGCCCCTCGTGGGTTGTGTATGGCACCAACTACCGCAAAGCCATCTTCATCTTCATCAGGTGAGACAGGCCTCTCTGGCACACTGCTGCTCCTTTGGGCACAGGGCACACCTACTTCAGGGCACACACTAGTTTTGATTTTCCTTCTCCAAGCCTTGAGCCTCCTTAAATTCCATTTCATTGTGAACAGACAGACCTGAGAGTGAAAAGGCTCTCCTGTCCCTGTTATTTGACTGTCATTTTGGGCCAGGCAGCTGAGAGATCCTGGCTTGCTCTCTGCAGGGTGTCAGGTGCCACCTGAAACACCATTTTCCTGGGTACACACTAAATAAGTGTCTCATTCTTGTGCAGCAACGCAGGAGGGGAGCAGATCAACAAGGTGACACTGGCTCTATGGCATGCCCGCAAGGACCGGGAGGAGATCAGCCTGGAGGACCTGGAACCAGCCGTCTCCAAGGCTGTGTTTGAAAACCCTCAGAGTGAGTCTGTGGAGCTGAGCAGAGGCAGCCAGGCCTGTTCTAGGCAGCCACCCACACTGCCTGCCACCTCCCAGGCAACCAAAAAGGGACCAGGGGGGTTTGAGGGAAGGGAACTGTGATCCTCTAGAGGTTTCCTGACAAAAGGAAGGAATATCCTGGCCTTCCAAGCCAGCAGACCTTTTGCCACGTTAAGCAAAGTTCTTTGGAGGCAAAGGTGTATTTACATCTGGGGCTGGTAGATAGCATAGCACACTGACTGGAACAGCACTGAGATGTACTGATCCCAGCCTGGTTCTCCTTGCTTTGTCCTTGTCACCTGGAGCAGAGCTTAAATTCTGACTAGACAAGCTAAATCCCCCCATTCCTGGAAAACAAGTCTACTGGTGAGGAAGGAGGGTGCCAACTGATGGGTTCAGCCCTCTCCTTGTACAAAACCAGAGCACATCTGTCCTCAGCAGAGTATTTTGGCTTCACACAAAGCAGCTCTTTGAATTCCAGGGACTGTGAAGGTAAAAACCTGTCTCTTCCTCTCCTTTTGTAGGTGGATTCTGGAAATCTGGGATCATTAATGAACAGCTCATTGATTTTGTTGTGCCTTTCCTCCCACTGAAGCAGTACCACGTAAAGCAGTGCGTCCTCAGTGAACTTGTCCAGCAAGGCCTGGAAGCACGTCCAGATGTCATCCAGGAGGTGTCTGACAGCATCCCCTACTTCCCAGAAGAAGAGAAATTATTCTCATCAACAGGCTGCAAAACAGTGGCCTCTCGGATCAGTTTTTACTTCTAGTCACTGTTGAGGGCCTCACTCAGATCCATAAGATGCATGTGGAGCTGGAAAGCATTCAGGGCTGGCAGGATGAGCAGTAGTGGGAGCAGT